ACAAGACTACAACTCACAGTCTCCTGGTTTCCAAGCCAGTACTTTTCATTATCATGTCTTCCCATCTCAAACCATAGTCTTGCAGCTCCATAAAGTACCCTGAAAAGGTTAATGTTTAAAGTAAGTTAGCTTTTAAAATTAATGATAATGCAGCCACCCAAGGCCAATTAAGTAGCAGTTGGAGCATGCAGAGAAAGAGGCAACCTTCAGTAAATGCTGCCGGCTCTTGGGTGTTTTAAAGACTATAGTATACAAAAGAAAAATAATTCTGTTTAGGAACCTTTAATTGTTTTGTACTATCTTTGCATAGTTCAAGAATTTAATTGGGCTGAACGGGCTTTGAATTCCAACTAAAATGCCAGTTAAATTCCCATTATAGTTTCCATTTTTTTCCCCCATCGACTTAAAGTGGTCTCCATTTTCAGTTTCTTACTAAACATTTGTGCTGTCTTTCTGAACGTTAATTGAAGGTTAGTGTTTTCCCTCCAGCACAAGCCAGCTGAAAACTGTAGCTGAAAAAATCCCTCCTATAGAAAAAGGGTGGGCTATTACAGTATTAAAGGTTCAGTGTTTGTGGATGCAGGCTCACTAGAAACATAGGATAATGAGGATGGAGCAAAAAAAAAAAAATTCATTCGGTAACAGTAAGAACCTTTCTAAGGCAGCAAGAAAAAAACTTCAATCGAAAATATCCTGAAGTCAGGTACGCTGGGGATCTATAGCTCTCCGAGCTAAAGTGAAAGGTCTACAACAGTGCTGTATCCATTATTTTATCAGAGTTTCCCTCCATTCTCCTTAATTGGATGAGGAAAAAGAAATAAGTGTTTCTTTGTACCATCCTCTCTCCAGCAGTCTTAGCCTCCCTGGATGGTTGTGCTTCTATTCAGTCCCAAAGAAGACATAACCAAGAATTTCTTTCCTTTGGTTCTTTTCAGATTAGGAAACGGAAGAACCGAGGAGACTGCAAACTTCTGACAAGCAAAGCCAATGGGGAAGCCAGATTCACTTAACAACCGTTGTGGGGAAAAATGCGTGGGCAGCAAACTGCCGTGCTTTCCCTCCCACAAACCTCATAACCTCTTGATAGCCTTTTTCCCAATGAAGCAGCCAGAAGGTCATCCCCTTTTGACTTAATGCCTCACCTACTAAAAAAATAATAATATGCTTAGTTCCTTCCAATCTTTTCCTGTCTTTGTTAGTTCCTTCTTCTTTGATCTGCCTGTGTTTGTTCTGCCTGTATTTGTTCTTTACCTGGTCTTTGATCATGTAATGTGTTACTAGGAAATAGTTGCTTATATGAAGGAATTTTCCATTGAAGAAACTTTTGTCAGCATCTAATGGTTAAACTTATGTATATCAAATGTCAGCATCTAATGGTTAAGCTGGTGTATGTAAAAAGTATATAAAAACCAATAAACACACAGAGATTCTCAAGCTGTCTCAAGCTGTGACAAGCAACTCTGCAGCAGCTTCAAATCTCTGCTCAAGACATGCCTATGTCTTTTTCTTAGCGTCTTACAAACCATGTTACTAATTTAACAACTGCAGCGATTCACTTAACAACTGTGACAAGAAAAGTTGTAAAATGGGGCAAGGCTCACTTAACAAATGTCTCAGCAACCGAAATTTTGGGCCCAGTTGCGTTGGTGAGTCGAGGACTACCTGTATTGTAACAAAGCAGCCAATCTAAAGGAAGTCTCATCCTGGGAAATCATGTAGAAAAATAGAAAGGGGACGAAAACATTAGGAAACTACGAAACAGATTTGAGCCCAGAATTAACCTTCTTTAGCAGAGTGTCCATGGCATGTCTCAAAATCTCAAATATGCCCACAACCCAAATATTGGGGAACCTATGTAAAGATGATGTGGATATTCTGATCTAATGCACTTTTCCTGTGCTGGATTTGAATCCTTCACACTACTGTTTATGCTGAGAGCTTCCTCAATTTTCCCTGTAGATGCTACTGCATCCCTCCGATTATATCCCAGAGAGCCCATCTTAGTCCTCAACAACTTTATGCATGGGTAGTCCTTGACTTACATCCATTTGTTTAGTGACCATTCAAAGTTGCAGTGGCACTGAAAAAAGTGACTGATGACCATTTTTCATTTATGACTATTGCAGCATCCCCATGGTCATGTAGTCAAAATTCAGACACCTGGCACCTGGCATGTATTTATTTGTGATCCTCTTTTGCAACCTTCTAACAAACAAAGTCAATGGGGAAGCCAGATTCACTTAACAACTGTGTAGCTAAACGGCATTGACTCATTTAACAACGAGTGGCAAGAAGGGTTGCAAAATGGGGCAAAACCTACTGAACAACTCTCTTACTCAGCAATGGAAATTTTGAGCTGAATTGTGGTCATAAGTCAAGACTACCTGTACTAGTATAATGGCAACCATTTTTTTTTGTGAATTTAACAAGCAGATATGCACATAAGGACAAACTGGGTTTAGAATTCCTCCCCATCATTTCCAACCTATATGAACCTGCAATTCTTCCCTTGTATAATAATGTTTGCACGTCAGGCAGCTGTTAAAGGCATAGAAGATTAGATGGGCCAGTTAGAAAGGCAAGCAATTTCAACTTGCAGCATGATTAATACCTTTTTTTTAGAAAAAAAGAAATGGCTGTGCCCTATAAAGAAAATTACTAACCTCTGTCTTTAAATGAAGAGCTTAGAGCTGGGTATATGTTTTGCAATGCATAAAGGGAAGCAGAGTCAGAAATTATACATTTTCTCTCTCCGGCCTGGGCATGGTTAATATGTATACAGTACAATATAGCACATCTTTACTCTGGGGAAATTCAACAACGTGTTGCTTTTAGTAGCTGATGAAGTGCAGCTGCCCTGAATAATAGAAAACCTTTGAAAATCAAGCCAAGCTACAGATCTGTAATTAATCTGTCTGCTTTTTAAATGCAAATAAATAACCCATGAGTAAAAATCAAAGGGAAATATGCTGTTTAGTAATAGCAGTCCTCCCCTAGCCGCTCAGAGGAAGAGAGATAGATGGTTGTTTATGATATATAAAGCAAGGGTCTCCAAACATGGCAACTTTTAAGATTTTTAGACTTGCTGACTGTGAATTCTGGGAGTTGAAGTCTACAAGTCTTAAAGTTGCCAAGTCTGGAGGGTCCTGCTATATAGGCTTGCTTGCAACATAACAAGCAGAAAATCTACAGATACTTCTCTTCTGGTCAATACATACGCCTTCATGCTAGGAAAAGCTGAACCTCAAATATTTGTTCACTTTTACAGATATTGATTGTCTCCGATTTTAATCTTTATTATTTATTCTCACTGAGAAAACAGAGCTGCTATTTCAACTGGTTATATGTATCAATCAATCCTGCGACTGAACTTATTCCTTCATGCTGATTATTTCTGACCAGCCTTTAATTTATCTCTAGGTATACTCAAAACTTTCTATATACATGTCTGCATTTGCCCACATTTATCACTCTGCTGTGGTTTTCCCTTCCCTCTCCTGCTCAAAAGACCCCCAAAATATAAGTGCTACAGACATTCTGGTATTTGCAAATAATAGGTGAAGAACAAAGGGAGACAGAAAAGAAAGGTCTAAAGTTCTCCCTTCTCCAGCCTGGTGTCTTTCCAATATATTGTGCCTACAACTTTCAGAATTCCCAGCTGGTGCATGATGGGGAATAGGGGTAGTTCTGAAATTTGGTTAATAATCACCCATTGCAGATGAGAGCTATGTTGGTCTATGGTAGCCAAAAATCAGAAGTGTATCAGTTTAGCAAAGTCACATCCTATGTCTTGCATAGCAATAGAAATTCTGGGCTCAGCTGTGGTCGTAAGTCAAAGACTACCAAGCCAGTTAAGTGAATCTTGCCCCATTTTATGACCTTTCTTGCCACAGTATTAATTGAATCACTGCAGTTGTTAAGTTAGTAACACGGTTGTTAAGTGAATCTGGTTTCCCCATTGACTTTGCTTGTCAGAAGATCACAAAAGGGGATCACATGACCCTGGGACACTGCAATTGTCCTAAATACATGCCAGTTGCCAAATGCCTGAATTTTGATCATATGACCTTGGGGAATGTTTCAATGATCCTAAGTGTGAAAAACAGTCACAAGTCACTTTTTTCAGCACTGTTGTGACTCCAGTCACTAAAGAATCTGTTGTATGTCAAGGATTACCTATACCAAGGGTCTTCAAACTTGCCCCTTTTAGGACTCATGGCCTTCAATTCCCAGAATTCCTCAGCCAGCATGCCTGGCTGAGGAATTCTGGGAGTTGAAGTCCATGAGTCCTAAAAGGGGCAAGTTTGAAGACCCCTGACCTATACTATACTGTTGGTTCAAGCTTATCGCTGCTTTACTATAGGACCTCCTAGATTTATTAGCATTTCGTGTTATAATGGACAGCTGGGACAGCTGCTGCAAGAATTCAGAAGGGGAAAGTATTCTAGATCCCCCTTTTTATTATTTAAAAAGAACGCTTCAAAATAATAATAATATAAGGCTGCTGCCCTTTCATTCCCTCTGATTGTACTACCACGTGTCACCGAGAATGACCAAGCAGATAATTCAACAGGTGCAGCACTTCCCACAGTCTGATCTTGGCGCACCAGAGACACTGCCCGCTTCCACAGAGAAGGGAAGCGGGGCGTCGCCTGCTGCGAGATCCCGCGGGGATCGTTTCCCTCCATCCCACCGGCTCAGCCGCCGCTTCGTCCTTCGGCAACCCTGAGAACTTCACCTGAAGAAGGGCAGGCATCTTCCCCACCACCACCACCACCCGCGGCCCCTTTGGACGGAACAAAGCTTCCCCCCCGAAGCGCTCTCTCTCTCTCTCTCTAAGCTGGGTTTCGCTTTGGTTTTCATTCTCGTCTCTCCAGGTTTGGATTCTTTTAACGGCTAATTCCAATGCTGCTATTGCTGTTTATGACAATCGCCGTACTCTGGCTGCATGCTAGTGGGACGTTCCCGGTGGGGGGAATGAATGAATGAACGAACGGGAAGGCGGCGGCAGCGCTGGAGATTGGTCTCTCTCCTGGCCGCTCGCTCCGCTTTCCAACCGAGCCGAGACAGGGAAAAGGCGGGCCAGCGGGGAGATGCGAGACTGTTGCAGCCGCCGCCAGGGAGGCAGATAAAGAGCAGGGAAGGGCTACTCTCTCCCGGGGCGGGAAGCGACTCCACGGCCGGGGCTTGGAGGTAGCTCGTTTTCAGGGCTACCGGCTCTCCTGGTGTCGTCCGGTCGTGAGCAGAGCGCCCGGCCTCCCCAGCCTCTGGAAGGCGCGGAGGCAGCCAATGCCGGACCGGATTTCCTCGGCCCGAGAGGCTGCTCGGCCTTCTCCTGACTGCCCGTGAGGTGCGCGTTTGGCCGGGCTCTCGCTTTTTGGGCCCCCGACTGTTGGCAGGCCTGCTCGGCTCTCCCGGTGTTGGGACTGAGAACACGTGCCCTTTCTTCTGGGCTGGAGGGGGGGTGGGGGTGGAAGAGAGCTCGGGATCTGATCGGGTTTCCACGGTCGGAATCCACGCTTGGCACGCACACGTGTCTATAAACACCGTTGATCTCGAGCTAACTTAACCGTTGCTTGGGAGGGTATTCCCCTTTATCTTGAGAAACGTACTCTTATAAACATTCAGCACTGGAGGGTTGAGAATGGGGGTTGTTGGCCCCCCATTCGGGGTGTTCATATATGAGAGGTTGTTTTGGCTCCTCCACCACTTTCTGGAAAAATTGATCCGTGATGCTTTTTTTTATTTTAAAGGTGGTTTATCAGATAACGTAGCTAAACGTGGCTACGTTAGTAATAAGTAGTTAGTATTTGGATGAGTGAGCTTCAGGAAGTGAATCGTACAACTCTAGTGTCCCCCAAGGTGAGAGTAGCAAAACACCCGATCATATTACTAAGATCACTGCATCATTGTATCCAAGGAGTCATCCGGAGTCTGGACTGACTCTAAGATGCGGTTTACCTTTTATAGATCTGATTTTCATGTAATGCTAATGGAATGGAATTTGGGAATTCTCAGTTCTGGGTAGGTATGAACATTCACAGACTGTGCTCATGGAAAAAGACACCATGTGGTTTGGAGATAGGCTTGCATATGAAACATTAAACTAAGTAGCCACATTGTGGTTTGCTTAACATTACCTAGCCGTGAAGTAGTCCTCTTGTTATATCACAATATACCGGTAGGCAATTCTTTAACTGGGATGTTGCAGATCAGCTTTTGGCTTAGCATTAAGAACATCCAGGCCTGCAAAAAATTGGATCTCCCATTAGTAGGCAGTAATGAAGGACGGAAAACTAAGTCTTTGCTATTCTTGGTTGTCTCAACCTCTGTAGCCCAAATATCCTTAAGAAGTTAAGAACATGCAGTAGTTTCCACGTTTGATCTCTGGTTTGTCCAATTTTTATTATTATTTTTGTAACTGCAGAGCTGGTTATAGGAAGGCGTTGTGCCTGAAACTTTGGAAACCCATTGAAAAATTGGGCTAGAATAACAAATAATCTGAACAAGTACAGGGCAGTTCTCTGTGAACTGCAAACTTTCCCTATTTGGTTGCCCCTCCCCCCAAATGCATTGACTTTGGCTACTAGAATCCTCTACTCTAATTATGTTAACTGGGAATCAGTAGCTGGAAATTACATTCAATACATGCAGCAAATGTTCAAGATGGTGAAGACTGGCTAAACTGTAGTTTAGACCAGGGTTGGGCAATTAATTTTCCCAGGGGGCCACCTGAGAAACTGGAACTTTGTGGAAGGCTAAACCAGGGGTCAACTCCCAGAATTCCTCAGCCAGCATGCCTAGCTGAGGAATTCTGGGAGTTGAAGTCCACAAGTCATAAAAGGGCCAAGTTTGAAGACCCCTGGGCTAAACCAATAGATTTTTTTCTTTCTCTCATATTTTGTTGATTCTTCCCTTTAGCTGCCATTTCTTTTTGTCTAATGGCAAGCTCATCTCTGTGCACCATACTCCTTGCTTAAAATCTTGAAGCTATGTTTTTTTTTTGGGGGGGGAGGGTGTTGCTGAGTTTAAATACAAGTTGGAACTTCAGCTGCTGATATCTAACTTGTTTTCCCTTGACAGGCCTCTTCACCAAAGGAGCATGTAAATTCAGGGTTCATCCTTGGTTTCCCAGCTGAACAAGCAAGATGCCGGAGCAAAGTAATGATTACCGAGTGGTTGTGTTTGGAGCTGGTGGCGTTGGTAAGAGTTCTTTGGTACTTCGTTTCATACAGGGGACCTTCCGGGAGACATACATCCCCACTGTTGAAGATACGTATTGCCAGGTGATCAGCTGTGACAAGAGCATCTGTACTCTTCAGATCACAGACACCACTGGAAGCCACCAGTTCCCTGCCATGCAGAGACTCTCCATCTCTAAAGGCCATGCCTTCGTGTTGGTGTACTCTGTGACCAGCAGGCAATCCGTAGAGGAGCTCCAAGCAATCTATGAGCAGATCTGTCAGATCAAAGGAGACGTTCAGAAAGTCCCAATTATACTGGTAGGAAACAAGAGCGATGACCCTCAGAGAAAAGTGGACACTGGTGAAGGAGAAGTCCTCGCCACAAAATGGAAGTGCTCCTTCATGGAGACCTCAGCCAAAATGAACTACAACGTGCAGGAGCTCTTTGAAGAGCTCCTTAATTTGGAAAAGAGAAGGAATGTAAGTCTGCAGGTGGATGGCAAGAAATCGAAGCAGCAGCGAAAGAGGGATAAACTGAGAAGCAAATGTTCTGTGATGTGATGCCTGCTGTGGCTAAAATAAGAGCGTAGTCTTGATTTTGCAGAACATCTATTCAGAGAAAATTCTGAATATAGAGGTTTTCAGAGGCTAAGTATATCTTTTAAGATGTTAGTAGTAAATGTGGGTTGGCTCATCTGAATATTTACTTAAGGGCTGTTGGATTTTGCATGTTCCATTTTGCACAAGCATCAACCATGCCCACTGCAAACCAGTCAGATACCATTCTGTGGTCAAGTGCATGATACAAGTGGAATAAATAATCTTAAACCTGCAATACTGCTGAATTTTTATATTTTCTTCAATTTGCAACATATTTCCTCTTATACAAATACTAATATGAATGAGCAAATCACAACAGGAGTATACTGAGTAAACCACTACGATTAGAGGGTACTATATCTAATGCTTGCATATACTTGGAGCAAAAAATAAATGCTTACAGATACAACTTAACTAGTTCTCTGACTACTGTAGATTATTTGTATTATTTATGGTGGTCCTTCGAATATATATTTATAGGAAAGAAACTTTGTTCTCAAGTATTCCATGTTATATGTAAATACTTTGTTGTATATGTAAATACAGTATGCGGTAATTCTACACTGGCAAGATTTTATGTGAATGATTAAAATTAAGTGAGTTTTTAGTGTCTTATCTATTGGCTTTCTAACTGTTAATTGCCCAAGCTTGATTTTCCAAAACGGCGAATTTAGTGGATTTAATTGTTGGGGGAGGGGGAAAAAGGGAAATTTGGTATTCCAGAATCTTTTATTCTTTTTTTAACTTGCTTCAGCTGGCATTGAACACCTGATATTGTAATAGTCTGTTTTAGCTTACCTAATTAATTAATTACCAGATTAATCCATAATCTATAAACTAATTTATAGACTACAGTTTCTGAATCATGGCTCAGTTCACACAACATCCTACTAGCCAATTAACTTCATCATGTATAAAAGAGAATATTTTTAGCTCATGGCTGAATTGTGAGGTCCTTGGTACTCTCTGAGATTGATGGTTTTCTTGAAGATGTTTCATTATCAAACTAATTAACATTAATGCTCTGATGTGCACTGATGTTGTCTTGTTTGGTAATAAAATGTATGCAAGAAAACCACCAAGTTCAGAAAGCACCAATAACTACATTATGGCTTAGTATATTGCTTAGTACATTATGGCTTAGACATTGTGTGCTATGGTTCTTGAATTGCTCCATTTTACTCTAGTGATAAAATTTGATTTACAATGAATAAGCATTTTCTCTCAATTTTGCTATCCAAAAATCTGTAGTAATCTATTGTTAAAAATAAACTTATTTTCTGTAAAGTAATTCTATGCCAGTAGAATTCGAACAATAAAATGCTGCACCAATATATGATAGCAAATTCATTTTATGCAGCTATACAACAGCTTATAAGTGCATTCTATATTTTATTATCAAATGTCTGCCTAAACTCTGCTGATTAATACATTTGCAACTGAAAATGTAAGGAATCCAGATTCCAAAAATGACCTGTGTTATAATAAACATATAATGTACCCTTTGCACTTAATACAATCCCATAGAGCAGGGGTCCCCAACCCCTGGTTTGTGGACCGGCACTGGGCCGCAGCATGCCAGATACCGGTGCGCGTAAATAAGCAAAGCCCCATCCACGGGATGCAGGCAGTACATGAAACCATGGCCCCTCCGGTCCGCAGAAAAACCTCCATCCACAGAACTGGTCCCTGGTGCCCAAAAGGTTGGGGACTTCTACCATAGAAAACATAGTAAGCAATAATTATAACGTATCATCTATGCCTCAGTAGCATTATCACCTCAGTTGCATAAAAGTGCTGATCCTGAACAAATAAAAATACTAAATATTTACAAAGCTGCAGATAGCCAAATAGGATTTGAATTATTTTTAAACCAGTTTAGCTCTCTGGACTTTGTAAATGAAAGGTAGGATGCTAAAATAAATTGAGTAGAAGACCGAATTATGAGAAACGTGACTTATCAGGCAAGGGGGAGAAAAAATCTTAGCAGCTATTAAAGACAGCAGTATAATTTATCTTAAATATTTTTCTCTCTATTTTTAGACAGTTGTTTTTACACATTGTGCTAAATTATTCTTTGTTTTAATCATTCTTTCTAGCACAAATTATAGTGGCCTTCTTCATATATGTTACGTTTAAACCAGACTTTACATACCATTCTGCAGTTATGTGTTGTACTGTCATTTATTGTTTTGTTTGTTTTGGCTTAGCACAATATTTAAATCCAGTGGCAAACTAAGTTAAATCAAGGGTTACTAGTGTGAGAATATGCTAAATATTCACATGCTTGTTCTTGTGCCCACCCCAGCTCCGGCAATGGGGAAAAAGTTGTGATACATCGTGACACGTCACGTGACGTGGAGAGTTTGACACCCCTGCTTTAGAGGAAGAATTGACAAGCTTCCAACCGTTTTAGTTTTCAATGTGATATACACAGCTCCCAGAACCACAAATTAGCCAGTCCCATTTTAACCTAGTTTGTAGTTTGCGATAGTTTAATATCCTAAACAAACTTGTCAATTGGGCTGAATAAACCATACATAAGATAATATAGTTAAGCCTGTGCTGCAGGAATTGTCATAAGCTACAAAGCAGGAGCATTTGCTAATTATGCTTTGTGCTGCAGCAGACTCAGGTTTACTTTTATTTATTTAAAGAACTTACATAACTCACCCATCTCAATTTACTGTCTGTCTGTGCCTAACAGTGCATAAAACATAAAAAAATACAATATAAAAACCAGGGGAAAATATAGAGCCAGTTGATGTAGCCTTGTCCTATATAATATCCTTCAGCGACATTGGTTTGCAATTCCATTTTGCAGCCACCATAAAATTTATGGTCCAACACATCCAATTGGAGAAGATTGGTTCGAAGATTTGTCACATTGACTCTTCATTTTTTTAGCTGCAAAATGAATCACAGAAAGTCCAGTCTGCTTTTCTGTTTATAGCAGCGCCCAGTCAACACCCACATTTCTCAAATGAAGATATAATTCACCCAGGCCTTGGGAATGGGGTAGTAGACCTCCTTTTATTATAATTGGTTATGAATATAGTCTTTTATGGCTGAGTTAGTGTTTTGTTCTTTCTGCTGATTGTATTTTTTTCTCATACGTATTATTTTTACTTGAAAAATCTGACAAAAGAGAATGAATTTATACATAATTATTCAAAATAGTACATAATTACTCAAAAATATTTGTTAATATGTGAATAATGCTTGGAACCATTATAGCCTTCTGGCTGCAGCATCAGCCAATGTCAATTGACTTAGTTCCCTCTCTCTGCCTTGCCCATTAGCTCTTTCAGCAGGGAAGAACTGTAACTTGGTATGTATTGCTCAGAAAAAATCTTCCTCTAATTATTATAAAAAAGTTTTCAGTTCTCTTGTAGTTTCTGTCAATCTTCTAGTAATATTCCCTGGCATTAATTATTTAATATTAGAACAGTTGTGTTTCATTTGGATAAAAAGTAGATTATGTCCCTCTCTCTCTTTAAAAAAAAGTTTAATTATTAATCATCATATTAATATGTTCTCCTCATTGTTTTAATTTTATATAGTCTTAATAAAATCTTGCCCATGTTGCATATAGTTTGTTTCTATTCTATCTAGACCATCATATTTTTAAGACTTAAAGAGATTCAGTTCTTTTATAGTTTTAGTAAGGAAAGTCTGCATTTTGTGTAAGGAATTTATTGACATGTGAAAAAAAAAACATTTTATAGGGATATAATGGAAAGAAGATAAACATTTTTCTGCTCTACAAGAGCGTATCTTTACATATTCTACCAAAACATTTATATCCCATCATTATGATGAAAAAGGACTGCTCACCCTGGATTAACAGACCTTTGGTGGCGAGGGTCTGTATCTGAATTTTAAATGTTTTTTTTAATTTATTTTTGGTTGGGAGCCGCCCAGAGTTGGCTGAAAATGGGTGGCTATTTCAAATAAAATAAAATAAAATAATCCTAAACTAGGTACCATATTAGCCACGTTTGCATTGGGTTCCCCTTTTTTGATAAAAAAATCCATTCATAGAAAATTAACAATCTTATTGATCCTATTACATTCTGAGTAGTACGAGTATGAAAACCAGGGTTATTAAATAATTATATTTAAACAGTGTTTCCTCTATTTTTTTTGTCTTGTTCTTTCATTATTTCAAAAATATCCAAACTCAAGCACTATAGAAAAAGTATAAAATTGTTGTAGCATATAAAAACTGATGGAATTGACAAACAGTAGGTTAAATAAACTCAGTTCTTTCAAATTTGGCTTTTAAAAATTGCACTCAGCCTAATCAGGCTGGAAATTTTTCTATTTAGGCCTATTTGTTTATTGTTTTTTAAACAAATATGGGGAAAAAGAATCCATGTTTCTGGTAGCTTAATTAATCATGTGGTAGCAGCTGAATCATGTTTCAGTTTTATGATTCACTTTGCTATTATTTTTAAGGCCTACTCCATTTAATCCATTGCAACTCATAAACATGAATCAGTTCTCCAAAGGACTTACTTATTTCTGAAGCCTCTCAAATTACTTCTAACATTATCTATCTCAGTTCTGGAAATTTGTTTTCAGATGCAAACCATGGAAGCAGTAATCCATTTAGGACAAAAATTCAGGTAGAATGTGGGCCCATGGAAAAAGACTCATGGGTTTGAAGTTGATTTTTAAAAAATATGTAAGCTTATTGCATTTAATTAAATTTGCAGTGATTCTTCTACCCATATGGTTAAGTTATTTGATTCATGCTAGCTGATGCTATAATTTGATACCAAGTTTCTACTTTCTGTTCCTTATTAATATTTCTTTTAATGATGAAACTATTAATAGACACATACAGAAAAACAATCTTGAACAGAGACTTGTTTGTTACTTTGATATAGCAAAAAACCCTTTCCCCATTTTACCATCTCTTCGTTTGTTCATCATTATACCATGCTAATATGTGTATATTAACCCTTATATTTACAGTTCTCCAGTTGGATTTACATCAACACCAAATAAGCCATGATTTTCCCGATATTGAGTTCTAAGTTCAGACATTTCTGATGATTGGTCAAAGTAGATGAGGTTGATAGGAGATGGAGTCCAATAATCTCCAGGAGACCACAAATTCCTAATCCTTGTTTTGGATGTTTAGTAATAGACATATTTTGCTATAATGTGCAAACAAGATTTCCAGGGGGTGTTTTGTTTTTAAAAAATCCTTATGAGATTTTAAAGTAGTTGAGATGATGCAAAATAAAAATAAAACAAGCCCTGTAAATGGAAAGATTTACACAGAATTTTTTTTAAAAAAGGAAGAAAAAGAAGGAGATGACTGCAGCGGATACTCTTCTATGGCAAGGGTAGGTAACTGATTCCTTTAAAACAGTGGTTATCAACCTTCCTAATGCCGTGACCCTTTAATACAGTTCCTCATGTTGTGTTGACACCCAACCCCCCATCCAGCTGGCTGGGGAGGGGGGCAGGAAGGTCGCTCCGCTGGCTCTGCCCAGCCTGGTTGGAGAAGCGCCATTCCTCTCCCTCTTTCTTTCCTTTCTCTTTCTCTCTTTCCTCTCTTTCTCTTTCCTCTCTCTCTTCTCTCTCTTTCCTCTCTTTTCCTCTTTCTTTCTCTCTTTCCTCTTTCTTTTTCTCTCTTTCCTCTCTTTCTCTTTCCTCTTTCTCTTTCCTCTCTTCTCTCTCTCCCTCTTTCCTCTCTCTTTCCCTCTTTCCTCTTTTTCTTTCCCCGTTTCTCTCTCTTTCCTCTCTCTTTCCTCTCTCTCTCTCTTTCTCTGTTTCCTCCCTTTCTTTCTCTTTCCCTTCTCTTTCTATTTCTCTCTCTCTTTTCCTCTGTTTCTCTCTCTTTCTCTCTCTTATGGCAGCATCGTTGGGAGTCCCTGCCGCCCCGCCCCGGCCTCTGCCGGGTCCTCAGCTGAATGGGTGGGGAGGGGGAGCAGGATGGGAGGCAGCGGCAGTGGCGGCTGCTGCTGCATCGTTGGGGGTCCCCGCCGCCCCCACGCTGCCCTGCCTCGTCCTCCGTCCATCGATGGAGCCGCAATGGGGACTGGTGCTGCGTGGCCCGCCAGCCTGTCTGCTCCCCCCCAGGTACCCCTCTTCCTCCCGGCATCCGCCTGAGCCACTTTGGGGGCAGCAGGAGGAAGGAGAGGAGAAGGGTGAGAAAACTGCTGCCACTGTCCCCGCCGCCCCCGCGCTGCCTAGCCTCGCCCTCCGCCCATCCGATGGAGCCACGATGGGGGCTGGTGCCATGCGGCCTGCCAGCCCCTCCGCCAGCCCGGCTGCTCCCCCCAGTCACCCCTCTTGCCTCAG